TGTTCATGACTTATTTCAAAAGTTGGAAAATAGAAAAGCCATGAGAACCAGAAATGCGTCGACCAACCTGACAGAGGCACTTTTTTTTAAAGATAATGAAACGGCGATAATTTCCCTTCGTAGGTACTCTGTATTTCGAGAGCTACAACTAATGACAATTCCCGTGCTTCTCTGAAGAAGTCAGGAAGCGGAAGTGCCTTCAATTTTTGAGTGTGCAACACGCACATCCTCGGAGTGCGAATAGTTGCATCGGGGCGCCACGATCAACTCGGTCTAGTTTTTGTAAAGCGGAAGCGTCTTCAATGTTCGATTATGTATAACACGCAATCTAAAACTCTGAAGATAAAGGCAAAATCAGAAAAGACCAGTAAATTTTCATTAAAATTCGCAGAGAAATATAAAGAATGGATGGTAAAAATTACTTACATAAATTCATATTTTAGGATTATCTAGACCATGCTGATCAAGTATGTAGCTATGCGTTAAACATAATTATTGACACTGAGAATATTTTCCTCTTTTCCTATCTTTTTAATTTAATATAAATATTTTGTCTTCAATCTACTCATAAACTCATCAAAGTTTTCCTACGCGCCATCTTCAACAACATAGTCTCTCTTATGATTACGCGTTACAATTTCCACAAACTAATTAGTTTCGGAGGTGCGGTCGCAATTAAATCGAGGGATTAAATTGTGAGGCCACATGTCGGAACATTCACATTTATTGCAAGTTCTAATCGCTCTTGAAATAGAGTCTTGAGTCCTAACACGAGTTCACCGGTCCTTGGAAAATCCCGTCACAATTGACAACACTTCGGCTCACGTGCCTGATTTAAGTACAACCACGGTGCACATCGCGCTCGTACGAAAAAGGAGGCCCAACCCAAATCCAGTTCACGCCGTTCCTTTGACTGTAGACCTAGATTTTAGCTCCGTGTTTACAAAATCCCAGCCCACTCTTCTTTTCTAACCAGCAGTAATTCAATTTACCCTCTCTTCCCCCTCCCATCTCATGGGCTCAAGTCCAGCGTAATTGTCGAGACCGCGAAACCACAGACCAAACATATTTATTGATTGCGGTGTAACAGACCAGATTTGTGAGGTGCTGTTTTGTTGGTTCTGAGCCGCAGTTTATCGTGGGCACTATACCGTCAGAGCTCCCATTTTTGTCAGCAGGAGTTTGGTTTAAAATAACGGCAGTATTGTAGAGTGCCTGGAACATAGCACAGTAAAAACTTCATTATTTACTCAAGAATAAAAGCCAATCTTCTTTTTGAAATTTTTGGCAAAGTTTCGTCAAGATTTAATAGAAATTTTTAAAACTTTCGATGGAAAATATTCATCTGTTCGTGTCATAGGAAGGTAATAAAATAGTGCTGGGTCCACACTATTTTGCGGGAAAAGCAGGGCCGAACTGGTACTCAATACAACTGAAACTTTTGTGACTCTAATTGAAATTTTTGAGCTTTTTTGCCATGTTTTCCCTGCAAAATAGTGTGGACCCAGCACGATTTTGCCACCCTGTTACATACAGTTCGAACCACATTCCTCAGCGGTTTTTATGGTATAAGTTGTCAAGAGAAATTTTGGAATATTGCAATGCAATTTAACTTCCCTGGCTCTGCGGTCACCTTTTCCCTCTAAAGCTTTGAAAAATAAGTTATGCTATGTCATACCTGCTACTACTCGCGTTTACGAGTATAGATATTGTTCACTGCAAAACTTCAAGAAAAACGCTAATCTTACGCGCTTTATAACACAGGTTTCATCCGTTATAAATACATCGACAGGTGCCACTGGTGGATCAAATAAGGTACCTGTTAGCAGATTTGTCACGCCAAGAATAGGCGGTACTTAAGGATTTTGATCGGAGGACCATGAAATTGGTGGACAATGCAAATCAGCTTGATGCTCAACTGATTTAAGCCGCTTTGATCCTCTGATCGACGGCCGGCACACGTTTCACTGTTGCCGGTTTTTATTTAAATGTATCGAAAAACGGGCGGAATCAAAATTAATCCGATTGCCTAACAGTAGCACAATAAATATGACCTAAATCAGGGAGACGTTATATGAAAATATAGATTTTGTTTTTGAGCGAGGCCCACTGTATCAAAAGTTGAGGCGTTGATGAACGTCCTATGTTTCTTCAAAGGTAATTACATATTTTGCGTTGAAATTTGCGTCGATCGATCTGCCCCTAGTGGTCTTGACAACCATTCAACTGGTCATTTTTCATGTTCGATGAATGTATTATCTTACCTCGCTAAATGCAGGGTTCATTCTACTCGCCATCCGGCTCAATATCTTTTTAATATTTCACACTCAGATTTACAACTTTCTTCATTAGTTTGCATAACATGGTCCGTCCGACGGAAAGTAAAAGTTTATCTGGAGATATTAGCTCAGACTCTGATTAAAAGAGTATTTTGAGACTGACTTCTTCTCTACCTCATTCAATGGCTCCATAAATGAAATTTTCAAAAGACTGCATATAAGGAGAAGTGTAGGAAAGTACAAAAACCTCGGAATTTGACGACATAAAGCAAGTTAGGTTTGTGCAAATTCTGCTTCGTTCATTTATTGTAAATTTTTCATATTCATTAATCTGGCGCTGAAATAAGGGTAATATATTTGCAATGTATCGTTTCAGGAACTTCCATATGAGGTAATGTTAGTTTATATGTGGTTTGTGATTTTCTGTGTGAATAAAGGATTAAACACTCAGAACATACAAATGAGATTTTGCCACCATTTTTTAAGAAACTTTTCAGGGTAAGAAACACCAGAGAATATCAGTCAAGTCAAGTAAATATTACATTGAATTCGAGTTTCAATTAATGAAACTTATATATATGTCATTGAGAAATGAGAAATGAAACAATTTCAAGTTTTACATTACCATATTTTGGTGTTTAGTGCAATTGGATTGAATCGCGCGCGCTAATATTAAAGCGCTCTAATCATGATAACGATACACTTAGAGCCACTCGGGGGTTGCAAAAATTGTACCAGCATAATGAGTCTATAACTTTCATGTATTGAGCTTGGACAGGTAGTTTTAAAAGTTGAGTAAAACGATTTAGTACAGAAGAAAAAAGCTAAAAATTGTCAGAATTTGCTCTGGAGACTTAAACGCAAAGCTAGAAAAGTTAGACAAGTAATTTCTGTTGCGAGGGGCCGCTCATAAGATACGTAACGATAAACTTCGATCTTTTCAACAAAAAGCACGCATGATGTAAATGCCTGCGCCTGCGATACACATTATTAGCACTTTGCTAGAAACTTAAACGCAAGGCTAGAAAAGTTAGAGAAGTAATTTTTGTTTTACACGTATAAAAATATTTGTGTTCTTGTGTTACTTCTAGTTAATAAAGGACGTGAAATACAAAACAACTCAAATTTTGCATCAATTTTGGTACAATTTGCGGTGAATTTATCGCGGAAAACAATGGAGAGATTGAGACTCCCTGTATAGTCAACCCAAGGCGTGGGTTATTTAGTGTTTTACTTCACGAACTAATCGAACTTTTATGTTGAGTTTTCTATCTGTTTGAGGGGCCGTTCATAAAAAAAAAGTAATTTTCAATGGTAGAGGAAGAAACAACGATGGGCATGTTCGTTAAACGGAAACTCTAGCTTTCCGAAAAAAGGATGGAAGGATTATGCTAGTTTACTGAATAAAAAAGAGCCGTGTTGAATAATTGACTGCTTGAAGACGTGCGCGCGGCACGTGCGAACATGAATCGGCTTGTTCACTTGTCCCTCTTTACACGCTTTTGTTCGCTGCCAAGAGTGCAAGGCTTGACATTGAGTCAGATTCTCCCACGGTGCTCCGCAAGAGGTTATACTGATCGGTGAATTAAGGATGCGCTAACGTAAGATGTTACACCGTGGGAACGTTTAGTCCGCAGTTGCACTGGTAACATCTATGTAGATCAAAAATTATTTCAGAGCAGCGGACTGCAAGATTGTCGATCTGTGCATGCATCGACCGATGATAACATAATCGGGAATCTTGATAAATGATGGTTTCTTTTTCTTTCTTTTTCAAAAGTTTTTCGGTCCTTTTTGAATTGAGGTACTTATGCGTGAGCACCCATCTTTATTCTCAATGCATTAACGCCGACACATGGAATGGTATAGGATTTTTAGACTTAAGAGAACAACTTAACTTAACTGACTTAATGATTTTTATCAAAGTTAGTAACTTATTATAGCAATTTTAAATTTTAGTTAGACACTAGTTCATTTTTATTATTAACAATAATATACCTCTTCTCAACCTTTACACGAACTCTTAGCGTTCGTCATGGGAAAAAGATCATTTTTTAGATTTTTGATAAAATTTGATCCAAGCAAAAGAGATCAAGTTAATATACAGAGAATATAAATATGAGCAAGTTTAATTTAAAAAAAAAATTAAAACAGTAAAATTTTTCACATGGGATATAGGGAGCATCGATATAAATAGTTAACTGCAGCACTTTAATCAAACTGTAAGAGTCAGCAAACACATTTTTTACATCCAAAACTCTGACAATTTGTCATAAATTTTCCCCTTACGTTATTTAGTGTACTTTTAAAGAAAATTTTCCTCTACATTAATAGCTGTACTAAAAATCATGGATCTCAATTAGTTACAGCGGTATAAAATCTCTATTCTTCATTTATTTTTTTAACGCATATCATGGCTACAATATTCTATATATTAGCCATGATATGGATTTGAAAAAAAAATCCAAGGAATTGTCAAATATCATGGCGGAATAATAAAAATAACAATTTCCTTTCATTTGCACATTGTGATACGTGTTCTTAGAGCTTAGCAGGAAGTACTTTATGGCACTTCCTAGTTGATGAAGACTCTTTCGCGATATGGATTTACCTGTTACGTCTGATGCGCAGACAAAACATCTATTTTAACCTGCTTCTTGATTTTTTCCAATTAAGGCTCATGTACGTTTGACACTAAAATTGGTTAATCTTTCTTTACAGAGAAGCTGTTCAAGAAGAAATTGATGTCGAGCTTCATGGCGCTGATGTTGATCATGAAACTTCTGAAGATCAAGATGATGTTCCTGCTGCCTTTGATCGTGGGCGTGGGCACGGCGAAAAAGATCCTCCTCAAAGTCCTTCTCTTCCTCTTCCCCGCCCTCTCCCACCTTTTCAAACTCTGCTCCTACTACCACCACCACGCCGCCAAGTTCCATCTGCACCATCACAAGGTAAAGGTAATTCGCCCCCCTGATTCACTCCAAATTACCGCGACACATGCGTTCATCACAAGCTACCGCAGAGCTCATAACCGTGCCCAGTAGCCAACTTCATAAACTCAAAGATGACCGCTGGATTTCAGAAGATCATTCATCGCACTTTTATACAATCCTTTCCTGCTATGGATTTAATCGTAATCGAACCGATATTTTTGACGCGGGGAATACCTTTATGCTCAGTAGATACGGCCATACTACCGTACTAAGGAAAAATGCCGTATAAACATCGGAGGGTTGCCAAATTTCCTACGACTAAATACTTATTTTTGAAGAAAATAATGATGATTTATTCTTGAAATTTTCAGGAACTTTAGGTGAAATTGTGAACAAATGTAAGAAATTGGAAGAAAAACATTCATATGGTTTACCAGGGAATTTTTGTTTTATCAAAGGAAATTTGGCAGCGGCTGAGGGTTCATACGGCGTTCATACACATAAGATCAGGAATTTAAGGTCCAAATTAGGTAACGTGATATGACATACAGAGCACTGAAAACTAACAGCAGTCCAGCTTTAATTCTGATTACGCTCTTTAATTGTATTAAGTTGAGGGAGCTCATGACCATTATTTAGAACTTGCAAATTAATCGAAGACAATAGTTCAAGTTTATCAATTTCATCACGTATCCGATGCATGTCATAAGTCATAAGTCAGAACAAACAGGGCCAGCTTTGAGCAAGCGTGCACTTTCATCTTCAAAATCCAGCGGTCAGCTTTTTACCAGTAAATTTTGTGAGTAACTCAAATTAAACTCCAGCCATCTTATCGGCGATCTCCTTCCACTAATAATTTTTCAATTTTCATGTCCTAATCGCACCATCTGTTAACTTTCCTATTTGATGCACCAATGATGCACGCGCATCCCTTAAACTGTTTTAATTTTCGATTTCCACGCTAATGTTCACTCTCTTTGCACCTGCACGTTTGAGCTTGTTTGATGTATGCATAGCTGTCACTTCTTTGGAATGAATCTAAAATCGCTAAACTTCGTTTTGGTCTAGGTGAAGCATGATCGGCAGAATGTAAGAGGGTGTTTTTTCATAAATGTTTAATGTCACTGAGAAAAAAAATAGTGTGGTAAACTAAATACTAATATAAAAGTTAATTCCAAAGATAAATATAGTGAAAGAGGTTCCAGAAATCCTGTTCGTCTTGAAAGTGATGGCGGAATTCAGTAATTTATAAGTAGCAGCACACAGAAAATGAGATGTAATCTAAAGTCACGAGGGAAGTGGGGTATGATCGATACATTTTCTTAGAGGAAAAATTCCTTAATATCTCATATTGCGCTTAAATGCCTTGAGCTTATTCTTTGGGTACTTTTTTACATTTGAGTATAAATTAACATTTATACCTAGGTTACTCGGGCAAATTCATTATCCATGATCAATTATGGAAAATTAAATGATACGCTAAGATATTTCTTGAGAATGCTTTAGAATTGGAGAGGTCATTTACCAACCTCTGGGGCATTGATCAGTCTTGATGCATTGAAACTTTGTTGAGATGAACGGAGGTATTAGTGCGATGAGGGTCCATGGATCGGGTCCACTCATGAACTAAACATTTACAAGAATGTCCGAAGAGTCTACCTCAACGGCATGATATGCTTCTTTCCTTCAAAATTATATGTTTTTTATGCATATGTGTAGGGATGTATTTACCTGCACCCTTATACGTTGTAGTAAATAAAAAATTGGTACATTCCCTCTTTCTGCGCGATCATTCTGCTTTTAGTCTGAAATGAAGTTTAGTGAATAGATTTTAAGTTTGAGACCCCTGTTTGTGTAAGACTCTACTTTCGCGAACTCGGTTACAACTTTTTGTTGCTTTTTATGTGTTTATTGCATGATTTGAATTTTTATGATTTATTAGGTGATACAGCAACACTCAACAGAGACCGTGAATTACAAAATTATAGAGAGTGCTTTCACGTAAAACTAAAAATTAGATCCGGCCTCTCACTGTCAAAAATGATTCTGATGTGTCGGAGCACCCTGTTAAGAGAGCAACTGACACACGCTAATAGTACCTGCTTTGTGAGTTTGGGCTTCGCTCCCGACAGAACGTTCAGCAAATGTACCTGGATTTAAGTACTGACATTGACTAAATTTTACATATGAGAGGATGAGCACACAACTGGTAGAAAAACGAGGTTGTAAAGTATACTTGAATGATGCTATCGTGTGCTGATGTAGCATAATCGTCAGTCTTTCACTAAGGAATTATTTATTTCAGAGATTTTTGTTTTGTTTTCATGCATGTCACGTCGTACATGAATATTCAATAAGGGGACCTTTAAGTCCTTTAAGGGGACCCAATTAATAATTATACCTTCGTATAAAGTTCATTAGGCTTTCAAATTTTCAATTTAGTGCTTATTGGATAATTTTTTGTGTCGCAGCTTGGATTGCAAAATATGTATATCAAATTACTCTACAGAAAATATTAAGCTCCGGGACTTTCAGTTGCCCCTCTGACTTGCTTGTTCGTCTCCGTTTTTGCATCGAATGCTTCTCAAAGGACCTAGCTGTGTACCCTTCTCTAGAGCATGAATATAATTTAAAATAAACTTCGCACGCTTTTTTGTAAAAAGAATCATAAACGATCTTGAGCCTCCAATAGTTAGGAGTAAAATATGTTTATGTAAAGCACAGTGTTTTTCGGAACATCTATCATTGTTTGTAAATTTATCACGTTGTTTTGTGAGCTGCAATGACAACACACAAAATTCATTTGCTGGCTGAGGGAAAGCTATTGTTGACATTGAAATAGAATGGGTCTGAGGTAAAAGAATCAAGGGGTATTGTTTGCGAAGTATCACTTGCATGCGGTAAAAAATCCCTGAAAATCACGATGAATCACGTATTTCGGTGAGAATTTCTCGGGTAAAAGAGTGCAGACCTCCAATGATCACTACCCACGCCATTGAAAATGGAAAGGGGAAAAACTCCGTGGTTTAGGCCTCTACATAGAGAGAAAACTCAACACAAAAATTTAGTTAATGCAGGAAGTATGACTCAAAATAACCTATGCCTTTGGTTTCCAAGTCTCTCCATTATTCTTGGCGCTAAATTCACCACAAACTGCACTGGAAAAAAAAACAAAAACAAATGGACTACTAGACAAGGCACGAGTTAAAGGATTCTGATCCATGATTCTTAACCAGAATTTCACGTAAAACACGACTCGCGTAATGAAAATTACTGAAACCAACTAATAACGAAGATATTAACGATTTTATTTCACATTGGTTACAAGAAATTTGAACTGCCCGCTCACAAGAAACTCAAAGCTCTGCGTTAGTCAAATCGCGCACTCCAACGGTTTCGGCGATCTTCTTTATCGAGCAGTGTTCATTTCCCATCATGTGTTGTTCAAACTCTAAGCAATTTGCTATAGCTGAGCCAAAGCGTCAAGATCGCGGTTGCCAAATTTTTATATCGCACAGACTGTCATGATCACGTTTAGCGCGCGATGTGAATCACGTAGAGTATTGAGTTTTCATGAGCGGGTGGTTTGAATTCACGCATCAAGAATCGTTAAATATCTTCGTAAGGAGTTGATTTCAGTAATTTTCGTTGTAAGTACCGTGTTTTACGTGAAATTTTGGTTAAGAAACATCTATCAGAATGCTGAAATTCGTACCTTGTCTAGTGGCCCATTAGATCTAGACTCCAGACTCTTAAAAACTTCGACAAGAAAAAATACTCTTTATTCAATAAGGTTTAAGCTTAAATCAAGAACCAAGCCTCTTAATTTGAGCCGATTTCCTTTTGATTTAAGCTTAAATCTGATGGAATCCAGAGTCCTTTTTCTTCCCGATGTTTTCAAGAGTCTGGACTCTAGATCCAATGTATTTTTTCCAGTGTGTACCTATATCAACACAAAGTTTGGGTAGGTTTGTGTTTCACTTCCTATGTTAACCACAAGTAACACAAGAATACTATAATTTTTCTCAATGTAAGGCTCTCCAAGTTCACCTATACATATGGTGAATTTGGCCTTCCGAGGGTTCATTTACATAGAAATTGAATAATATCTACTGGACCAAAATTCTGAATGTTAAACTAATTTACAGGTTAAGCACCATCACCATCATATTCCGGTTCCGGTACCAGTGCCTGCACCGCCGAAGCACGTGTACCACCACCACCACTCGCCGCCACCCACGTACGAGGAACCAGAGTACCCGGGACCGCCGATCCATGGCAGCTTCCCTGGAGATTCACACGAAGTCGAGCCCCCTGGCCCCTACGACGCCGGTCCAGAAATCCACGGTCCTTCTGGACCCGGATCTGGGCCTTACTACCCCCGCAACGATGTAGCAGGTATGTGATCGAGAAAAACAGTTCTAAGCTCCTTGCGCATGGTGACATTATGTCAGACGTTTGAGGGCCGTTTGTAAGATCTCCTGTTAGGGCCGTTTGTAAAATCTCTTGTTAGCCTCTGGTCACCAAACCAGTGGTCAGACTCTGACCAGCAGTCAATCTGCTAATCAGCCTAACTACTGGTTTGCGAGAGAGAACAATGGCTGACCGGGACTTGACATGAAGAAAATCGGGTGTCACACGCATCTATGCCTCTGGTCAAGCTCTGGTCAGCTCAAACCACCAGTTTGACAAGCTACTGACCAGAGGTCTTACACTCGGCCCTGAGTGCTGAGTCGCCAAATCTGTTTTGACGATTGGTACCTGTAGATGAATGTGGAACGGTGTCATTTTCTGACTGATACTTATACAGTGATTCTCCCGTTGAAGCGTTTATTTCGAATTAAGGCCAATTTTGAAACACAAAATCTTTTCGGAGACACAAAAACTAATGCAGAGAGCAAAAAAGCGAATACAGGTAAAATGTTACTGTGGTCAAGAGAAAGGCTTTTTTGATTTCTTCATTCTTAAATTATCTTGGTTCTCGTATGACGTTATCCTGTCTTTCTAAATGACGTGATATTCGCTCTAAGTAGTCGATCAATGATTAACCAATCAAAAACGTAATTAGTCTTTCGGTAGGACCTCACAAAACCATTCCCGATGCATTCGCGTGATTTGAACGCTTGAAAATGATCATAAGGACGTTTTTCGACTCTTTTTGTGATATTTCTAGCTTTGACGTTCCTTAGAGAGATTCATATTATTATGCAATCTTAAAAATATCCATACGATATGACGATTTACAAAAAAAAAAAATTAAATAATCAAAAATTTACTATGCTTTCTTGATGATTTTTATAGCAAACACGATGCAGCAGCACAGCGACGAGTTCGCGAGTTGGGGTCTGAACGAGTTGTTCTCGAACACGGAGTCGCCAGGAGTCTACTCAGCGGTAGCACAGTCGTACGCCCACCTGTTCAACCCGCAGTACCCGCAGGCCTCTGCCGCCAACAACCCCAATGCCATCCCCACCGCGGCCCCCGTCCCACCCCACGCTCAATCACCCTCCCTCAACTCCTTCTACCAAGGCTCCAACGAGAAGAACTTCAACACCGGCTACAAAACCCAACAGGTGAGTCCACTTAATGCAAAATTAAGGCGTATTACTTGAAAATTTTCGCAAATGAGGACATATATGTAACAATGGCGGATGTGAAAAATTACCTTTTCGAAACACATTCAAAAAACCCTTTTGGCATCGAGAAAATTTTGAGAAAATACTTGAGATGTGATTTTCGAGATCTGCACATTATGCCAGAGCCAAATATATTAAATTTTTGTGTGAACAAAACAGTTTTTAAAGCGTGTTTCGAAAAGGTAATTTTTCACATCCGCCATTGTTTCACATAGGGCCTCAAATACATCCTCGGATGATACATTGAGCTCTTTTTAAATTTCTTCATTTTTTCGTCATGAGAAGAATGAAGGGTTTGCAAATTGACAAAATACATTGCATTTCCCTCTTACGAGGAATAAGGCAGGCCAAACAGTCGCGGAGTGGCCAGGGGATCGGCACACCCCCATATTTATGTACAACTGAGCACATAATGAAAATTATATTCACACGGTATGTAATATAATGCCCAACAAAATTTTAAAACGCCCTACACGAGCAGTTTTCTTTTCAAACAATTTCAACAACATTTATATCCTTGCGTTTAAGTCTCCTAGCCAGGTGATAGAATACTCGCAGGATAATCCCTTTTTAGAGACTTCTTCATCAATATTTTTTCATTTTGTCTTCTAAACCCACGCACTTCCTCAAAGTGAGGTCCCTGTCACCTGGCCCTCTTTTCGAATACATCGAAATTTATCAATCAATAAGAGCTGGCTAAAGTCAGAAAGTGCGAACATTCATTATTACTAAAACCACACCACCCGTGAATCACAGGATGTGTTCTACAAAAGGAGAAATTAGAGAATCAGTGACTGAATGCAGGCGGTCGTAAATTGAATAGTTGGTGATTAATCTCCAATCAATCAATTTCGTCGATTTTCACAATACTCGCTCAAGGCTTTGTCTCCACGGGACGTTTCGTGGGCTTTGTCCCAAGTTTGAATCGCAGGAATGGAAGATCTTGACTTTTTCCCTATGAGAAAAAAGAACCAAAATTTCATTTTCCTCTTTCAGTTCTTGGGACTCTACAAGGACTCTGCTCGATATTTTTTCCAACTTTATACAAGTGAGATTTTTCCCTGGGACAAATCCCATGAAACGCCCCTGCATGGAGAAAAAAACTTCGTGCGTGGGACCCGAAGTTTAGGTCATATGGATCTCTGACGTTTTCGGATTGAGCATCTGAACACTTTAGATCTAGCTGTCGAGGTTTGGATCACACATCTGAGACTTCAGTTCTAACATCTGAAGTACTTCAGATGTGAGAACCGAAGTTTTTCGGATGTGAAAACCGAAGTACTTCAGATTTAAGAACTGAAGTTTCAGATGTGTGATCCGAACCTCGACAGCTAGATCTAACGTGTTCAGATGCTCAATCTGAAAACTTCAGAGATCCATATGACCTAAACTTCGGGTCCCACGCACGAGGTTTTCTCTGTGTGGGATATAAGGTCCCTTCACGTGGCTGCTCACGTTCAATTGCCAATCCCCTTAAAAATATCGCCAAAGCACGAGACAGCTACTTAACATGATCGCCTTTCCGTATTTCAATATTTTTTTTTGTCGGATTCTTGATTTTTGGCCGTGGAGGATGAGAGTGGCCCAATTTCGGTTTCGAGGAGTGGTCTGCGGATGTGCGTTGCGGACGAAGACGAGGATGAGGCAAATTTACATGTGTCGTCGAAACGGAAACGGAGCCTGGGAGCCCCGACTGAGATTGAGAGTGAGATCAGGTTGAAGGATAAGGCGCGAAATTTGGCCTACTGTTGACAAAAATTTACTTTCTCCGCGGCCGCGCACTCCGACCTGCCTCCCGCACCGGTTTAGGCCAGGGCCATGGCCAGGGCCACGTCACGACCCCAGAGTTGCCACCTCGTTAGAATTTTGATAATTTTTCAGGATTTCGGACGGCTATCTTGTAATTTGAAAAATCCAACTTCGAAACATGTCGAAAATGGAGATGTTGCATGTGTGAGGAATTTGTGATTTGACTGTTGATTCATATGTAAAAGTTCGCGAGAAACACGGTGGTGCTACTGGTTTTTTCTGAAATCAACTCCCAAGCTCAAAAAAAGCTCTCAAGTTGAGGTCAAAATGGAGGGGATATCCCACCCTACCCTGAGAGTCCACTTCTACATCAAAATAAACTCTCCATGCAAAAATAGGGAGCAAATACATTAGCAGGGTTGCCGTGTTTTCAGTTTTGGAGACCCCAATTAGAGTGGCAGCCCTGTCAATGTATTTGCCCCCTATCTCTGCATGGACAGTTTGTCTTGATGTAGATGTGGACTCTCAGGGTAAGGTGGGATATCCCCTCCATTTTGGCCTCAACTTGAGAGCTTTTTTTGAGCTTAGGAGTTGATTTCAGAGAAAACCAGTGGCGCCATCGTATTTCTCACGAACTTTTAAATTAAAGTCAACAGTCAAATCGCAAATTCCTCACACATGCAACATTTCCATTCCTAGGTTTTCAGAGGAGATTAAAGTACTTAAGGTGATTCGATGGACGCTATATTTTGTTCCAGAACGACATGCGATATATCGCATCGAGCAATTCCATTTTTTCAGCTACTTGTCATATTTCTCGAATTTTGAGACTGCAATTCTGTTGACAGGAGACCGAAGAATGCACTCACGAATTTTGACGAACAAATTCGACGTAATAAAGGCGTGGATTTTTTTTACAGAGAAAATATCGTATTCAAGGGCAGTTTCGATATTAGAATTGAATGCGATGTTTTTCCTCTAAAAAAAATTACTCCTATATTACGTTGAATTTGTGGGGCCATAATTGGTAAGTGAATTCTTTAGTCTCTTGACAACAAAATTGCGATCTCAATATTCGAGAAAAACGAAGAGTGGCTGAAAATATAGAGCCAATCGATCCGGTATATTGCATGATGTTTTGACACAAAATACGGCGTCCATCAAATCACCTCGTAAGCCTCATCACTGCGGAGCGTCTAGCAAGGGGTACACTGGGCACAAATTCCCCAGAAATACCGTAGATTAATCATTTGCTCGAGCATGAAACTCGCAAGTTGAGGGAAGTAAGAACTGTTGAAAAATATATTTTAGGAACCTCTTTTTGTCCCTCTATCTCGCACAATCCTCACCTAGCAATTTAGCGAAGTTTTGATAGCTGAATTTGAAAATTATGAGTATTAACGAAAATTTTACGTAAATTTTTATGTTTATGTGTTGCTAATTGATAGCCAAAGTACAAAACCACGCATCTCCGTTTTAGATGTTGTGGACTTCCCGCCATTGTTTAATTTTTTTTTGGAAAAGCAGTTAACGTATAAATTCTTAAAAACATCTTTGATCGTTTTCCTCTGCTAGGAAAATATTCTGTACGAATTTCAAACAGTACAGTTGGCTTGTTTATCTTAAAAAAATAAAATAGGAGTGGAAAGTTTGAAACGCAGCAATAGAGATTCATAATTTTGCTTTTTGGTCATCGATGTTTTTTAGGTTTTGTATCAATGTTATAAAAATTTTCAGTATAAATTTGAACAGTTTTTACAGTTTTATAAAATCCAATCTTAGTAGTCAATTTTTGTTGGACTGGTTTCTTTTTTGAAATGTAACTTTTTTAAACTAGTAATTAGAAAATTTAGGTTAAACAAAACGTCAAACGGCATTTAGATTTGCAAAAAAAAAAAAAGAAAAAAAAATGGCTCAGTCTGTATGTATTTCACTTTCCATTCACTTTCTCATGTCAAATTTAAGAAGTCACAAGTATAATCCGAATATGAAAATATTTTGATATCTTCAAGTCCGAGACGCCAAGGGAACTGATTTAATATTACTTTCACCGCATTTATTTTCGTGTCACATCAAAGACCTACTGTGCTTTACCGCCACAAAACGTCTTGCCCTAGTTTGCTACCGTTTCTACTTTTGAGGGAAAAACTTCTCTATTTGGATGCTGCGGTAATTGCCGGCTCTAAAAAAGGAGCAAGGAGATAAAGAGAAACAATAAAACGTGAAGCCGAAAAACACCTTGTTTAAATTCCTTGCAGCTCTCGCCCGGTTCTAAAACACATTAGCTACCGCGTAAAGGCCATAATGGCATATTCAAACAGTAAACCACGGTTTTATGGAGAAAGATTAATTTGGCCACGAAGCCACCAAACGATAAACTGTCTCATTTAAACCGTTTGACGAATCGATCAACTCTCGACTCGGGAAGATTATTCAAGTACTTGCGAACTAAAAAACGTTTCTTGCGAACATTCTTCTAGTCCATCATTTTGTATTCTGAGGTGATAGACTGGTAAGATTATGGTAACATTAGCTGTGCACTTCGCACCAACCTTAAACTATCCGCTACTTTCGCGATTATGATATGTTAATTGCACAACCAGGACTGCTAATTACAACATCGCAACCAGTCTATGGCTTATATCGTAAATTCTTTGGATTATTTGAAACTCTTGCATGTGTTAGGGTATCACGTCACTCACGATCTGTTTTTATGAAATATGAAGGACGGAATAATCGGAAACGTTGGATAGAAATAGGTTATTTGTGCGTGTCTATATTTTAATAATTGAATCATTTTCAGTAAACAGCTCAAAAGCGGGACTTTTCTATCCAATAGGAAACATGGCGTCATTCATTATGCATTATGCTTTTCTCTTCATTTATCTAATTAAAAATTAATGAAATTTTCACTACATACTCCTTGTTTCACGAGCGTTATTGTTCAAAACAAAGGCGCTAAAATTATGGTGACTGTGTAGTAGCGGCTTTGTTTAGTGTTTTTTTAAAGGAACCTACTAATTAAAATACAAAGACTTTGAGTCTCTATATTATAAAACGTTCTTCAGCTAACGCTGAGGTAACAAGTTATTGTTTTATGATAATTACAAAATCTTTTCTGTCAGTTTCCTGAAACGTGAACATCGTCCTTTCTTCCATGACGATGACTTTATTCAGATCCATCAAAC